CTCCCCAGCAGGGAGCCCCACATCCGCCTGTCCAACATCATTGCCAAATTCCGCATATTCCATCTTATTTCTGCCATCCTGGTGGGTGTGTAGTAACATCACTAAAATACCATTAAGTGTCTATCTATTAATTATAGCTTGTTTACTTCCAAAAAGAAATGAACGCAGCTTGTAATAAAAAGCCAGATTAAATAGAAACAATTTTTAAAGTTTTTTTAAAAGGCAAAATAGTGAAGAAAGGATGCAGATAATTACACTAGAAATCCATACCAGGATGTTAGTAATTACTACAATTCAGCAAAACACTTACTTCTGAAATTTCTGACAGCCAGTACCAAGACAGAAATGTGATGAATTCCATGGCTTTCATTCTCTAATAAAAGGTACAACAAATAGCAAAAGAAATTCTGGTCTTGCTCTTTGATATTTACCCATGTAAGCTGAAAATGCAGGGGCTGTGCATGGTGGCTCACATCCATAACCCCAGCACTTTGGGAGGCTGGATCACCTGAGGCTACGAGTTTGAGACCAGCCTGGCCAATATGGTAAAACCCCGTCTCTACTAAAAATGCAAAAATTAGCCAGGCATGGTGGTGTGCACCTGTGGTCCCACCTACTCCGGAGGCTGAGGCACAAGAATCACCCGAACCTGGGAGGCGGAGGTTGCAGTGAGCCGAGATCGCGCCACTGCACTCCAGCCTGAGCAACAGACAGTCTAAAAAAAAAAAAAAAAACCAAAAAATAAAGCAAAACCATGGAAATAGTAAAAAGACAGGTGGTTGCCAGGGGCCTGAGGAGGAGAGAGGGATAAGCACGTGGAGCACAAAGGATTCTCAGGGCACTGAAATGACCCTCTGTGGTACTAGAAATAGTGGACCCCACAGAATGTACAACACCAAGAGGGAATCCTAACGTAAACAATGGACTGCGGGTGGTGTGTCCACGTGGGATCATGAACCGTTAACAAAAGTACCGCTTTAGTGCAAGATGTTGGCAATGGGGAGGCTGTGCATGGGTAGACAGAGGGAGCATGTAGTAACTCTCTGTACCTTCCTCTCAATTTTGCTGTGAATCTAAAATTGCTCTAAATAATAATAATGTGAAAAAAAGAATATTGAGAGGTTTAACGTTCATAACACAATGTCTTCGACAGCAATTTTATAAAAGACATAGAAACACTTGGCATGCAGTTCTCTAATTTTTTTTCTTTTTTGAGACAGAGTTTCACTCTTTGTTGCCCAGGCTACTGTGCAGTGGCACAATCTTGGCTCACTGCAACCTCTGCCTCCCAGGTTCAAGCAATTCTCCTATCTCAGCCTCCTGAGTAGCTGGGATTGCAGGCGGCTGCCACCACACCCGGCTAATTTTTGTATTTTTAGTAGAGACAAGGTTTCACCATGTTGACCAGGCTGGTCTCAAATGCCTGACCTCAGGTGATCTGCTCACCTCGGCCTCCCAAAATGCTGGGATTACAGGCATGAGCCACCGCACCTTAGTGCATCTCTCTTCATCATCAGCATTAAGCTGCCAGCCTAATACTGATTATGTGATTCTCTGAGAATGCTGAGTCAGACCAGAAGAAACAGCATGTGGAGCTCACCAGCACCTGAGGTTCTGGGATGGATACTGGCATGTGCCCAGAACTTCCCCCTTCAAATATTAGTTGCCTCACGAGTTCCTGTTCTGTTGTCAAATAATTTTCTTTACAGGTAATAGAAATACTAAACATTCAATACTGGAAATAAAGAAAAACACAGAAGAAATTAAAGATTAATCCTGCCACCCAGAGACAGCCTTCTACCCTTCTAGTATCCTATAAAAGACACCTCTAATTCATGTGCTTTTCTTTGCCTAAATATATAGTTTGTGCTATGTATCCTATTAACTTACTATTTTAGCAGCTACAGAACTAATTTATTTAACCAGAAATCTATTGCTGAAATGTAGATTTGCTCCCAACTTCTTACTCTGAGAAACAGGTTTCAACATAAATCACTGTGTGTATTTCTACGTCCATAGTATGAATTGCTAAAATTAGAATTACTTAAAGTCAAAAAGCACACGGAAGTAGAGGCTTTTCTACACTGCCAAATTACCCCCCACAACTTCAATCAGTTTACACCCCATTCATGTGTACGAGAAAACTTGTGTCCTTGCATTTCGCAAACCTGGATGTTTTCGGTTGTTGATGTTTTCAATGTTTGCATTTTTTTCTTTTTGAGACAGGGTCTCGCTCTGTCACCCAGGCTGGAGTGCAGTGATTACAGTTCACTGCAGCCTCGAACTCCTGGGCTCAACAATCCTCCTACCGCAGCCTATCTAGTAGCTGGGACTACAGGTGTGCACCACCATGCATGGCTAATTTTTAAAAATTTTTTTACAGATGGGTTCTTGGCTGGGCCAATCACCTGAGGTCAGGAGTTCAAAGCCAGCCTGGCCAATGTGGCGAAACCCCACCCCTACTAAATAAACGAAAATTAGCTGGGCGTGGTGATGCACACCTGTAATCCCAGCTACTAGGGAGGGTGAGGCAAGAGAACTGCTTGAGGTACAGGTAGCAGTGAGCCGAGATCATGCCACTGCACTCCAACCTGGGTGACAGAGGGAGAATCTGTTTCAAAAAAAAAAAAAAAAAGATGGTGTCTAATTATGTTGCCCAGACTGGCTCAAGTCATCAAGCAATCCTCCTACACTGGGCTTCCAAAGTGCTGGGATTAAGGCATAAGCTACTGCCCCCTAGCCCAATCTATGCAAAACTCATTGGTTAAAAAACGGCATTCATTCTTGAACTCTCTCATCTTTGGTTTACAGCAAGGATAAACATAATTTCAGAAGTCTGCTGCCATGTGAATTTCTGAATTTGCAAGGTGCTGTACTGTTGCTCTTTCATTTAACAGATATGTATCTATTGCAAGCCTAGCAGCTCCCGGGTGCTACACTAGCTGCTGGGGACACGAAATGTACAAAAACAGAAAAGTCTCTGGTGACATCCCTTACAAATCCCAAGGGTCTTAAGGATTGTCCTTCCAGATGCTGAAGAGTGCCACCAAACATGATGCTCTGCCTGTGGTATAATTCAAAGTGAGTGGTTCCCATGGTAGCGTCTTTTGAACCCATTCCTTTTGAGCTTCACTGCAACATTGTATCACGTGCCTTTAATGGCAGAATGGCAGCATGGACCTAGTTCACCTAAGATCCCCACCAAATTCTTCAGGAACAACCAGGATCCTACCAAATTCTTCAGGAACAACTTTAAGAGGAAACATAAATAGATGCAAAAGATGGAAGAACAAAGACAAATAAAACAGTGATGCATACACCCAGGGAATACGGTCAGGATGAACTACAGGCTCTGGAGAAAGATGCTGAGAACCAGAAAAGGCTTGTGGGAGATGACGTTCTAATAAAGATTATGATGGAAGGAAGAGGTCCCTTGTTTGTCTGCATTGTTGAATCACAATGATTCTGAACTAGCGAAGCCTAAAGCACAGATGGTTTAGCAAAGGACTGTATCAAAGTGTGCTGAAGCTCAGTGCACCCTCCTCAGACCCCATCTGGGATCCCTCCAAACGGTGAACCTGAGGACACAAGCAGAATACTAATTAGATTTTCTGAGGACAAAGATCCAGCAGATCATTCAGACAGCAAGACCAGATCCCAGATCTAGATCCAAAAGATCTGGAAAGGCTGGCTGAGGCAAAGCGCCAAAAAGGAAAAGGCCCCTAGTGACGTGGCTCCCAAGACAGCCAGCTCAGCTGCCCCAGCAGCACAGCCCAGACCACCTACTCCTTCTGCATTGGGAGCACTTGCTCCCACAGCCGGGTGACCTGGGCAGCTGCAGGAGGGAAACCTGGAGCCAGAGGGATGGAGAGGGGTCACAGCCCTGGCACAATGTGAAAGAAAAGAACAATCTCAGAGGGGATGAGATGGCCGCCTTCAAAGAGCTACAGGGTAGACAGAGAAGAAAACTCATTTTGTGTAGTTCACAACAGCCTTATTCACACTAGACAAAAAATGGAAACAACCCAAATGCCTGTCAACTGATGAAGGGATCAACAAAATGTGGTCTAGCAACACGACAAAGTATCACTCAGCAAAACGAAGAAGTACGGACCCCACAAAACCCAGATGAACCTTGAGACATCACACTAAGTGAAAGCAGCCAGTCGCCAAAGACCACACGTTGTGTGATTCCATTAATATGAAATGTCCAACCAGGCAAATCCACGGGGACTGAAAGAACGTTAGCAACTGCCAGGGACTGCGGAGAGGGGATGGGAAATGACCATTAACAGGTTTAAGGGGCAATGAAACTGTTTTGGAACCAGACTGACTGGACAACTCCTTGACTGTGCTACTTTTTACTTTGATAAAGCTGTTATTTTTTTTGAAGGTATCCATTATATTTTCATTTAATATTCACAGCTCTATGAGGTAGCTATTTTACAGATAAGAAAACTGAGGCTCAACAAAATCACGAGTAAATGATGGAGGCGGGTGAGAACCCAGCTCACTGTCCAATCCAAACCCCGACTCCTCGTCACTATGCTGGTTATACGACTTCCTAATGAGTGGAAAAGACAGATTTCAGCTGGACACAAGAAAGGCCATTCTAACAAGGAGAACAGTGCCCTCCCACTCATCGGGAGTTGAGGCAGGGGCTGACGACCACTCATGGGGCTGGAGAAGGGAGTGCTGAGCCTATAGGAAGGTATACCTGCTAACCCCTTCGCTGCCTTGCAACTGAACACACTACACCCTCTCTATTCTAAATCTCAGACCACCTAACATTTGCCCAATCTCCATGCTATTTCTTTAAGCTATTCTTGGTTCTATATACTTAAGAAACTGTAGTCTTCCTATAATTTTTAAAAACTTTACATGTCTTCCACTGTCCAAAATAGCATTATTTAGATGCTGAGATGCATTTCAATCACTCAGCAAAACAATGGGAACTAGAACGTGAGCCATGGAAATGTGCAGTCAGCTGGTATACTTACTGTGAAATTCATTCCCTTGATGGGGAGCTTCAGGTGTTCAAATCCCACTCTCACTGTATACTGAGTATAATTCAGGTAGCCAAGGTGAGCCACAATAATTTCTGCACATTTCTGCAAATATACAAGGAAGATTTGTCTTTAAAGAAAGCGAGACTCACGCTCCCACCAAATGACCCATGAAATAATACATTTCAACAGCAGATGAGCGGAACTCGCCAAAAGCCCAGAGAAAGTCAGAAGCCAGCCAAAAACAGTTCCTCGAAAGAATGAACCAAATGGATACTTTTGGAAACACAATATATGATTTACACCAATTGGAATCTTTCTACTTTGGACGACTGAAAATAAGTCACTGTGTAAGAAAGTTAACAGTACAATCCAAGCCTGACATTTCCATAAATATATAATTCCAGAGCACGAGGGAAACGTAAGCGGAGACACGTCAACACAGATGCTGCAGCTTAATTTGTCCTCCCTGGCCCAATTTTGCGATTGTTGCAATAATAAACAGTGAATTACATATTTTTCTTTCTCTCCTTATAACATGTCATTCTCCACCTGGAGCCCCCTTTCCCCTCCAGCGTCCACCTTCAACCTTCAACCTTCCACCTTCCAACTTCCCTCCACCCTCCACCCAGAGTCAAAGCAAAGGCTGTGTGCACAGCAGCAAGTGCGGACATGTGTGCTCCACTGTTGTCAAAAGCCCCTTCCTTTTCTCCTTCAGGATTAACAGCCAGGTCTCCAATGCTTTGTTATCCCCTTCCAGACTGGCAGGGAGGATGAACCCTCATGCAGGGACACAGAGGTGCACCCAACAGCCATGCACACAGAGCTGGCCACTCCTCTCCAGCAAGCTCTGCCCCGGCCCTGCCTTTTGGAATGTCACTCTCCACCATCCAGCTGCTACCAGGAGCAAACGGGTGGTTCTCTGGCTAACAAGGCACCGCTCCAATGGCGGGCTAAGCCTTGAATGTCTGAGGTCAGGTAAGAAAACAGGTGTGGGTTTGGGTTTTACACACCCCGTCTCTACTAAAAACACAAAAAATTAGCCAGGCGTGGTGGCAGACGCCTGTAATCCCAGCTACTCGGGAAGCTGAGGCAGGAGAATCGCTTGAACCCAGGAGGTGGAGCTTGCAGTGAGGCAAGATCACACCATTGCACTCCAGCCTGGGCAACAAGAGCAAAACTCTGTCTCAAAAACAAATTAACAAAAAGAGAAGAGGGCAACTGTCAGGGAGGGGGAGGTATGAGGCTGGGTGACACAGTGGGGTGCTGACCTAAGGGAAGGGGGAGAAAGCAGAGACGAGGGGAGTGTGCAGGGGGCTGACGGAGGCACCAAGGTCACCATCTCCACTCGCCAAACACTTGAGCTCACTGGCAGCCCTGGGCCTGCACCAAAGCTCATAATGCTCCACAGGGAAGGGCTCCCCCAGGAGGGGGCTGCAAGCCCTCTGGCTGGCCACCCGCCCGCCTCCCACTCTCCTATAAAGGAAACACAGGTCATCTGCTATTTTCATCGCTCTGGAGCTGAGGCTTCCCTTCCACCTGATCAGCTCTCCCCATTGGAATCTGCTGCCTGCCCTCTGGGCATTAAGTGTGTGGTCCTCCTCCTCAGCAAAACTAAATTCACCTTTCCCCGCTGGCACTTGGGTCACGGGATGATGCACAGAGGCAGGGGCAGCTAAGGACTTGGCCTCATCAGGAGGGGATGGCTGAAAACCTATAAATACATTTTTACTGTGTGGACAAACATTTCTTGTGAGTTTAAGAATTTGTGTCACCTTTCAGGGACATTTTAATTAACAAAAGAGTTATATCTCAGGCTGCATATACTTAGGAGTTTAAAAAGATTGGCTGGGCGTGGTGGCTCGCACCTGTAATCCCAGCACTTTGGGAGGCTGAGGTGGGTGGATCACGAGGTCAAGAGATCGAGACCACCCTGGCCAACATGGTGGTATCTACTAAAAATACAAACATTAGCCAGGCCTGGTGGCACACGCCTGTGGTCCCAGCTACTAGGGAGGCTGAGGCGCAAGAATCGCTTGAACCCAGGAGGCAGAGGATGCAGTCAGCTGAGATTGCGCCACTGCACTCCAGCCTGGCGACAGCGCAAGACCCCATCTCCAA